ACACAAACAAATTTTATTTTTGAGGTGTGTATAAGTACTACCCTTAACAACTTATCCGTGGTGTATTGTGCAAGTCTTCCAGGCAGTGGCGGATCTTCTTGGGAGGTGAGGGGCGTGGCCCCCACCAAAGTTTTGTAACTTCCATGTAATTTATGATTTTGGCCCCTCCCAAACTTAATGAACATTTAATATATTTACTTGTATATTTACAATTTTATCCTCTCATCCCCTCTTCAATTTTGTAACTCTCATATAATTTATGATTTTGTCTCCCTCAAACTTAATGATCATTTAATATATTTAAATATATATTTACAATTTTATCCTTTCACCTTTCGTCTTCTTACTTTATTTTATATTTATTTATTATTTATTAATAAGATATTATTTGGCCCCTCCAAGATAAATGGTCAAGATCCGCCACTGCTCCCAGGATACAACAGGAACTTCTCGGAATACCTGAGGATCTCATAAACTAGCAAGAAACTCTCAAAAGAGTAAATTTACACAAGATAATAGAAAGAAGATTAGAGAAAGAAAATGAGAGATATGTGTTTTTGAAGAGTGTAAAGTAATATCTATTTATAGGAGAAAGTCTGTAGCAGTTATGGGAAGACTTGATAGTGGGTCTGTAACGTTTTCTGAAACGGTATATATAATGTTCTCTAAAACGGTATCTGTAATGTTATCTGAAACGGTAGCTGTAACGTTATCTGAAACTGTATCTGTAATGGTCTTCTGCAACGTGTGAGAACACGTTCTCTGAAATGGTCTCTATAACTTGTGAGAACACGTTCTAAGTTTTGCAATACCTCTTAATTTACAACAATCCCCCACATATTGCAAAACAAAAAGGAGATAAAAGAATGAAAGAAGAAAATCCTGGGTCTCATATAAGATGTAATGTATCAGAGCTGGTATAACAAACTATATGAACCAGTCTTAAACTGAAAAACTTAACCCACAATGTAGTTGGTGTAGCAAGTTATATGAACCAAAACACTTAATGTGTGTTAGCGGTTTTAACAATCATAATATACCCTCACAATTCTTGTTGTTATCGCTATGTTGCCCTTACAAGGCCATGCACGTGTCTGATATTCATGAGTGCTATAGAATTCTTGCAAAGATCTCATACAAGCGGCCCTACTCATATAGGTGACTTCATCAAACATATGCTGCAAATCATATATCACCCTTAAGGGATATGAAATCGTTAAAAACTTTGTTTAGACTAATATTCGTACACCACATAGAATTTTAATTACAAAGTTTAACCTCCCAATGATGCAGTATCTAACACTTTCACATATACACCATAGGAATGGACATAATTGATTTTAATCAATTTTAGTGCTAGCAGAACTAACAAGTGACTTGTTTTTACCCATATGAACCTTATTCATGGGATCTCCAATCACAAAGGTTGGGTTACCATCACCTGTTTGTTTGAAAGTTGCTTAAGTCTCATTCCCCTCAATGTTTCTAAAATCATATTTCTCGCTAAGGGTTTTGTCAGAGAATCTGCTAGATTCCATTCTGACTTCACATAGTCAATGAAAATTGTTCAATTCTTTAGCAGTTGCTTCACTAAATTATGTCTCAATTGTATATGTCTGTTTTTTCCATTTTAGTTCTTATTTTTAGCTATAGCCAATTGACAATCACAGTGTATTGATACAGACGAGGTCGGTTTCATTCCTAATGGAATATTTACTAAGAAGTTTTTCAACGACTCAACTTCACTACCAGCTATATCGAGAGCAACAAATTCAGATTCCATTATTGATCTTGCAATAATTGTCTACCTGACTGATTTCCATGTAATCGCATCACCTCCAAGTGTGAATACATAACCACTAGTAGATTTTGTCTCATTTGAATCAGAGATTCAGTTAGCATCACTGTACCCTTCTAGTACAGCAGGAAATCCCCTATATTCAATGACATAATCCACTGAACCTCTTAAGTATCTCATAAGTCTTGTAAGTGCATTCCAATGTTCTTGATTTAGACATTGAGTGTACCTACTCAGTCTACCTACTGCATAAACAATGTCAGGTCTAGAAAATCTCATTAAATGTAGTAAACTTCCAATTACCTGGGCATACTGAGGTTGAGAGATTGAGTCTCCTCTATTCTTCTTTAACTTAGAGTTAGCGTTGTAAGGGATATTTACTGGTTTGACGTTATAACGTCCAAACTTCCTAAGAAGTTTCTCAATATATTGTTCTTGGGATAGAAAAATATTATCACACTTCCTTATGATTTTAACTTTCAAAATTACATTGGCTTCACCAATATCTTTCATTTCAAATTTAGATCCCAGAAACAACTTAGTTCTGGAGACAATGTCAATGTATGTACCAAATATTAGCATGCCATCTACATATAAACATATAATGATACATTCACCACTCTCAAATTTTTAGTACACACATTTATCAACATCATTAGTTGAAAAACAATTACAAAGTAGAACACTATCAAGTTTTTCATGACATTGTTTTGGTGCTTGTTTTAATCCATACAAGGATTTTAAAAGTTTGCACACTTTGTTATCTTGACCTAGAACAACACACCCTTCAGGTTGAGTCATATGAATTTCCTCCCTTAATTCACCATTCGAAAAGGTTGTCTTAACATCCATTTGGTGTATAACTAGCTTATGGATAGCTGCTAGAGCTAACAAAACACGAATAGAGGAAATCCTAGTCATAGGGGCAAAGGTGTCAAAATAATCAATGTTGGATTTTTGAGTAAAACCCTTTGCTACTAATCTTGCCTTATATTTATCTATGGATCCATCAAGATGATACTTTTCTTAAAGATCCACTTACAACCAATAGGTTTTGTTCTTTTAGGCAAATCTACCAAAGTCCAAGTATTATTTTTCTTAATTGAATCAATTTCAGTCTGAATGGCCTTATCTCAATGTATTGCATCAGGAGCCCTAGTAGCCTCTAAAAAACTCATTGGATCATTTTCAACTAGATAAGTGCAGAAATTATCTCCAAAGGAGGTTTCCTTCCTCTGTCTTTTACTTCTTCTCAAATTCTCATATGCTTTATCACTATTAATATCTATGGATTGTTTAAGTGTCTCACTAACCTTTAGAGGAAAAATATGTTCATAGAACTCAACATTTTTTTGTCTCCACTATAGTATTATGCTCAATTACATCACTTTTGAGGACAAGAAACCTATAGGCAACACTATGTTCTGTATAGCCTAAGAACATATAATCAGTTGTTTTAGAGCCTATTTTTCTTTTCTTACGATTGAGTAACATTTACTTAGCTAGGCACCCCCACACTCTTAGATATTTAAGATTAGGTTCATAACCTCTCCATGACTCATAGGGAGTTTTACCAGTTTGTTTAAAACACACTATAAGTATATCTTCTCTCAAAGGTTATTTGATGCACTAGAGTTGTTTGTTTGATCAAGTACACTTTGGTGTATGTAGAGTAGTCATCTATAAATATCATTAGAAGTTTTAGAGCCTATTTTTATTTTCTTAGGATTGGGTAACATTTACTTAGCTAAGCACCCCCACACTCTTAGATATTTAAGATTAGGTTCATAATCTCTCAATGACTCATAGGGAGTTTTACCAATTTTTTTAAAACACACTATAAGTATATCTTCTCTCAAAGGTTATTTGATGCACTAGAGTTGTTTGTTTGATTAAGTACACTTTGGTGTATGTAGAGTAGTCATCTATAAATATCACAGATCATATGAATCAATAATATAAGCAGAAGAACAACATTCATTAACAACCTCAGAGATGTTTGGTACAAAAAACTTTGGTCACAATATCCCTTCCCTACAAATACATTTTTTTTTATTTTTTTTCATAACAATTTTATCATATTCGAATGACACTTTAACCCCAATTTTTACCAACAGTGTTATAAAGATTAGATTACCTCTAATTAATGGCACATGTAGCACATCACATGCCTGCGTCTTTCTAGATGTGAACTTTTAGAAGAAGTTTTCTTTTTCCTAAGACAGTAGTTGTCTTGGAAATACCGAGATAAACATGTTCTTCTTCATCCCCACACTAATGTAGGAGGTAAAAGCACTTCTGTTTGCACATATGTGCCTGGTAGCACCAAAGTCTACCCCTCATTTGCTCACATTTGTCACAAGGTTTATTTGGGAAACGACCGCAATAATTGTATCTTCTCTTTGGTTAAATTCGCCTTAGGAGGATTGTCGTTTCTCATTCCACCTCCACACTGAGGTGCATTATGACCTTACTTTCCACAAACAAAGCAATTTTCTTTCTTGAACGTAAAGTGGGGTTAGATCCATTGGTTTCATCCAGTCTCAATCCTTTCTTATACGTATGTACAAAATAATATGTGGACAAAATAATATTCTACTTATACGTACGTATAAAATAATACGTGGATAAAATAATATTCTACTTATACCTATGTACAAAATAATATGTAGACAAAATAATATTCTACTTGTACGTATGTACAAAATAATATGTGGACAAAATAATATTCTACTTATACGTATGTACAAAATAATACGTGGACAAAATAATATTCTACTTATACATATGTACAAAATAATATGTGGACAAAATAATATTCTACTTATACGTATATACAAAATAATATGTAGATCTAAGTCATGCACACTTGTGGGAAGACGTTCTAAATTTTGCAATACCCCTTAATTTACAATATTAATAAGATACTGAGCTAAGTAATTAACTTTTATTAGAATGCAGCAAAAAAACATGGAAGCATGCTTTTAGAGAAAAGATAACGAAGAGTCATTTTGGAATGAAAATGATCAACTTACTGTTATAATTTGAAAGATAACAATGCAACACCGTTCTAACAGAAATACAACAGAAAATTGTTATGACCAGTATCATTAATAAATACAGTAACAAAAGGAGACAGCAAGAAAAGAATAAGATCAATGATGGATAATGTTGTGGACAAGGTGGAAAAGGTGAAGAAGGAATGGGAAGAAACGTACAAGAAAACCAGGAGCACATAGAGGCAATAGCAGAGTACAGAAGAGCGAAAGAGGAGAAAATTTCACTGTCTAGGTTGAATGCGATCATTCAGTATGGATTAAGATTTCTCAATTCCTTCCTCTTCACCCTCAATCTTCTCGCCCCTCAGTTGGCCTCCTATCCGGAGGTTGATTATGCTCGCCAATTACTTCAATCGTGGAAAATCCTAATCCAAATGTACCAAACCTCTCTCTTAAGTCATTTTTGTTTGTTATTGAATTGGATTGAATTGAATAGACATATCTCTTAAATTATTTTTGTTTGTTTGTTAGAGAATAGAGAAATAGGAAAGAGATACTCCTTCAAAAATGTCTCCTTATTATATTGCATGAGCACGTATGAAATATATATACATGCAGATGGGTAAAATAGTTAAACACAAGCAACCAACTCTAACTACAAAAGTCTTGACTTATTAACCAACACTCTCCCTTAAGTCAAGTATTTAAGGGACATAATTCCAATTAACTTCATCAAATCTTCAAATCTATCGTTCTTCAATGATTTTGTGAGTATGTCAGCCAACTGCAGATCAGGTTTGCAGTGTACAACTGCTAGTCTTCTTTGTTCACCAAGTCTCTAAGGAAGTGAAATCTAACTTTTATATGTTTGCTTCTACCATGGCTCACTGGATTCTTAGACAAATTAATTGCATAAATATTGTCAATCTTCAACTCTAGTGGTTATTTGACTTCAATCTTCATTTCTTTCAAAAGTTCTTCAAGCCACATAGCTTGGCATGCAACAAAACTTCCTGAAATATATTTAGCTTCACAGCTTGAGAGTGTAACTACAGGCTGTTTCTTGGAGCACCATGATATTGGAGCATGGTTTAGCAAAAATAGGTATCCCGATGTACTCTTTCTTTCCACTAAATCACCATTATAATCGGCATTTGCATACCCTATGATTTTAATTTCTTCATTGACTTCCAAAGGGAAACAATATACGAAAATCCATTGTTCCCTGTATGTACCTTAGAATCCTTTTGACAGCTAGCATATGACTTTTCTTTGGGTCACTCATGAACCTACTGATCAAACCCACAACAAACGAAAGTTCTGATCTGCTGTTACAGAGGTAGCGAAAGGATCCCACCATCTGTTTGAACGTTTTTCCATCTACTGCTTCGCCTGATTTATCCTTTGTAAGTTTCAAGTTGCCTTCCACTGGATTTATCACTGAGTTACATGAAACCATGTTGGATTTCTTCAACAATTCTCCAACATATTTCTTCTGGTGCATGAATAATCCTTTTGATGTGTGTATGAACTCCATGCCGAGAAAATAACTCAACTCTCCTAAGTCTGCCATGTCAAACTCAGCAGCCATTACCTTCTTGAATGCTTCAATCTTTCTTGAATCAGTCCCAGTTATCAACAAATCATCTACATATAGGCAGAGGATAATCAAGTTCTTCTTGTTGTCTTCTCTTACATAAACACCATACTCTACTGTACATTTTGTGAATTTATATTTCATCACTTCAGCCCATATGAGACCTTTTTAAGTTTGTAAACATGCTGCTTCTTCCTTTCTATAATAAACACAGGAGGCTGCTGCACATATATGTCCTCTTCTATAGGCCCATGCAAGAACGCTGATTTCACATCCATTTGGAATAGGGTCCAGTTTCTTGCACATGCTATAGCAACCACCAAACACATGGTTTCCAGTCTCGCTACTGGTGCAAACACATAAGAAAAATCCACTCCTTTCTTTTGCAAAAAACCTTTCGCAACCAGTCTGACTTTGTGTTTTGACACAGTTCCATCGGGATTCAACTTTTGCTTGAATACCCATTTCACTCCAATACTGTGTTTGCCTGCAGGGAGTTCAACCAAAGTCCAAGTCTTGTTCCTTTCAATTGATCTAATTTCCTCTATCATAGCTTCTCTCCATACAGGTTGTTTCAACACATCAATTTCATCTATGGGTTCTGCTCCTGCCATTAACGTCATATGAATTAAATCTCCTTCTTCGATTAGTTGATCATCTCTATGCATCTCAAAGGGTACATTTCTCTCCCTCTGTGATCTTTGAGGTGTTGTAATATCAGTTGCATGCTTCAAGCTTTCTTCCATAGGAGGATTGGAAGTGATAACTGAATGTGTTTTCTTTGATAGGCTGGTGTGTTTTCCAACCCAGTTCCAACTTTCTTCTTCTAGAACAATCATATCTCTACTGAAAACAACTGTATCATAAATGGAATCATACAATTTATATGCTCCCGTAGCATGATATCCGATAAAGATCATTGGTTCACTCTTATCTTTCTTGCAACTTTGTATGTTTCTGGTCTGGAATATGATTAAATGCTAGTGATCCAAAAACTCTGAATTGGCTAACTCTCGGTTTCTTCCCTGTCCAGACTACAATAGGTACCTCTCCACCTAACTTCTATGTAGGACAATGATTTAAGATGTATGTTGCGGTTGATACAGCTTCACCCCAGAAGTTTTGAGGGAGTTCCTTCTCCTTGATCAAGCTTCTTGCCATGTTGAGTATGGTTCGATTTCTTCTCTCAGCCAAACCATTGTGCTGTGGAGTATAGGGTGTTGTTATTTCATGCACAATTCCATGCTCAATGCAGTGTTGCTTGAAGGTAGTAGATGTGTACTCCCCTCCTCCGTCAGTCCTAAGAATTTTAAGCAACTTGTCACTCTCCCTTTCAACTTGAGTTTTGAATCTTACAAACGAATCAAGTGCATCACTCTTCTGCTTAATTACGTGCAACCAAACCATCCTGCTATATTCATCAATAAAGGTTATGAAATACCTGTTTTCTGCTAGTGAAGGCACTTCAAATGGACCGCATACATCATAATACACTACTTCAAGGCAATCATTCGATCTCTTCTCTGTGTGTGTTTGAAACCAATTTTTGGGTTGCTTTCCAACCAAGAAGGTTTCACACTTCTTTTCGGGTAGATCAATGGTAGGTATTCTTGACACCATTTACTTCGTTCCAAGTTGATGGAGACTTTTGAAATTGAGGTGGCCATATCTTGCATACCACAACCAGTCAACTCTATTGCTTTCAACAGTAGACAAACATTGCACCTCCATTGCTTGCAAGTTAACCTGAAAAGTTATGTTCTTGGACAGTTTGCTTTTCAATATTAGATTGTTTTTATCATCAAATAACTCAATCTGATTATAATGTCCCATGACAACAGTAAATCCTTTTTGCACGAGTTGGTCAATACTCAGCAGATTGCACTTCATATCTGGAACAAATAACACGTCCGTGATTACGGCTTTTGATCCATTCTTTTTTTCAAGGTACTATCATCAGCAAATTTAACTTTGCTCTTCTTTCTTGTATCAAAATTGGTTAGCCAATCTTTATGACAAGTCATATGATTTGAGCACCCTGAATCAAGGTACCAGAATTCTTGTTTTAAATTCCTTGATGCTGCTGCACCATTAATGTTAATGGTTCTTCAGAATCAGATTCCTCTTGAGCTATAAGCGTTTCTTTATCATCGTTTTTCTTCTTCTTTGCTTTAGCTTTGTCAGCATAACACTCACTTGCAAAATGACCCATCTTGTGACAGTTGAAACATTCTATTTTTCTTTTATCGAACATTTTCTTCTTTCGAGATCCACTTTTCTTTCTATTTACGTCAGAATCTTCTTCATCAAATTCATCCTTATTTTGTTTCCAGACTTTCTTTCCCTTCTTTCCATTCCATTTACCATGCTTCTTTCTCTCTTCGTTCTTTAAATGGTGAACCTTTAAAGCTTGTTCAGAACCTTTCATTACATCTATGACCTTCATTTCATGTGCCTCCAATGAACTTTAAAGCTCCTCTATCTTTATCTTTGACAAATCTTTCGATTCTTCTATTGCTACCACTATGTAATTGAACTTTGGTGGTAATGATCTCATTACTTTTTTAACAATCATGAGCTCAGTAAGAGCCTCACCACAACCCTTCATTTGATTTGAGGACAAGAAACCTATAGGCAACACTATGTTTTACATAGCCTAAGAAGATACAATCAGAAGTTTTAGAGCCTATTTTTCTTTTCTTAGGATTGGGTAACATTTACTTAGCTAGGCACCCCACACTCTTAGATATTTAAGATTAGGTTCATAACCTCTCCATGAATCATAGGGAGTTTTACCAGTTTTTTTAAAACACACTATAAGTATATCTTCTGTCAAAGGTTATTTGATGCACTAGAGTTGTTTGTTTGATTAAGTACACTTTGGTGTATGTAGAGTAGTCATCTATAAATATCACAGATCATATGAATCAATAATATAAGCAGAAGAACAACATTCATTAACAACCTTAGAGATGTTAAGTACAAAAAACTTTGGTCACAATATCCCTTCCCTACAAATACATTTTTTTTATTTTTTTTCATAACAATCTTATGAGATTCGAATAATACTTTAACCCCAACTTTTACCATCAGTGCTATAGATATTATATTAGCTCTAATTAATGGCACATGTAGCACATCACATGCTTGAGTCTTTCCAGATGTGAGCTTTTAGAAGAACTTTTCTTTTTCTTGGAATTACCGAGATAAACATGTTCTTCTCCATCCCCACATTAGTGTAGGAGGTAAAAGTACTTCTGTTTGCACAGATGTGCCTGGTAGCACCAGAGTCTACCACTCATTTGCTCACATTTGTCACAAGGTTTATTTAGAAAACGACCGCAATAATTGTATCTTCTCTTTGGCCAAATTTGCCTTAGGAGGATTGTCATTTCTCATTCCACCTCTACACTGAGGTGCATGATGACCTTACTTTCCACAAACAAAGCAATTTTCTTTCTTGAACGTAAAGTGGGGTTAGATCTATTGGTTTCATACAGTCTCAATCCTTTCTTTTACGTATGTACAAAATGGACAAAATAATATTCTATGTACAAAATAACATGTGGACAAATTAATATTCTACTTATACATATGTACAAAATAATATGTGGATAAAATAATATTCTACACTTATACGTATGTACAAAATAATATGTGGACAAAATAATATTATACTTATACGTACGTATAAAATAATACGTGGATAAAATAATATTCTACTTATACGTATGTACAAAATAATATTCTACTTGTACGTATGTACAAAATAATATGTGGATAAAATAATATTATATTTATACGTACGTATAAAATAATACGTGGATAAAATAATATTCTACTTATACGTATGTACAAAATAATATTCTACTTGTACGTATGTACAAAATAATATGTGGACAAAATAATATTATACTTATACGTACTACAAAATAATATGTGGATAATATAATATTCTCTTTATACATATGTATAAAATAATACGTGGACAAAATAATATTCTACTTATACATATGTACAAAATAATACGTGGACAAAATAATATTTTACTTATACGTATGTATAAAATAATATGTGGACAAAATAATATTTTACTTATACGTATATACAAAATAATATGTAGATCTAAATCATGCACACTTGTGAGAAGACGTTCTAAATTTTGCAATACCCCTTAATTTACAACATTAATAAGATATTGAGCTAAGTAATTGACTTTTTTTAGAATGCAGCAAAAAAAACATGGAAGTATGCTTTTAGAGAAAAGATAACGAAGAGTCCTTTCGGAATGAAATTGATCAACTCACTGTTATAATTTGAGAGATAACAATGCAACACCGTTCTAACAGAAATACAACAAAAAATTGTTATGGCCATTATCATTAATAAATACAGTAACAGAAGGAGACTGCAAGAAAAGAATAAGATCAATATGATGGATAATGTTGTGGACAAGGTGGAAAAGGTGAAGAAGGAATGAGAAGAAACGTGCAAGAAAACCAGGAGCACATAGAGGCAATAGCAGAGTACAGAAGAGCGAAAGAGGAGAAAATTTCACTGTCTAGGTTGAACGCGATCGTTCAGGATGGATTAAGATTTCTCGATTCCTTCCTCTTCACCCTCGATCTTCTCGCCCCTCAGTTGCCCTCCTATCCGGAGGTTGATTCTGCTCGCCAATTGCTTCAGTCGTGGAAAATCCTAATCCAAATGTACCAAACCTCCCTCTTAAATAATTTTTGTTTGTTATTGAATTGGATTAAATTGAATAGACATATCTCTTAAATTATTTTTGTTTGTTAGAGAATAGAGAAATAGGAAAGAGATACTCCTTAAAAAATGTCTCCTTCTTATTATAGTGCATGAGCACATATGAAATGCCTCCTATGTTCTCATAAGAAGCTTGACCACCAGTAGATTCAGGAACCTCAGCAGCAGCCGGAGAAGAAGGAATTTGACCTTGATCAGCTTCTTCTTCATCTTCTTCCTTATCTTCAGACATCCCAACATCAATCTTAGAGATCTACTCTCCATCAATTTTGATAAATCCCATCTTCCGCAAAGTGGAATCATCAATATTATTGGAGGCCTTTGGAGTTTCCACATATTCTCCTGCAAGATCTACTTCAAAGTATCTAAAAAATTGATTAATCAGCATAGCATATGACAGTTTATAATCAGCCAATCTTTTTGCTTTTATCATGTGATCATTGATAACAAAAATCCAATTTACACGGATATTATTTTCAATGCAATACATAAGAGCTAAATCACCCTCATTAAGTAACGTATGATTACTCCCTCTTGGAGTAAGCATCCATGCAATGATAAAAGCAAGAATCCTTGGTTCAAGCTCCATTTTCCCAGTGTTAAGAGTTCTTACATAATCATTCTGATTTTTGAGACAGCTGCGGAAAAATTGAATTTTGTTAAAATAAGATAACTCCGCAATGTTACCTCTGGATACCTTTACACCAACATCATGGAGACCAACCACTTCTTCCCACACCTTAGGAGTGATCACCAAATTTATACCTTTGACTTGAGATCTTAGAGTGGAGCCGCTGACTGTAAGGTTGGCATAGAATACCCTTACTAGATCAGGTTGAATGTTGCCGGTGTGCTCCAGAAAAGTCTTTAACTTTTGTCTTTTTAATTTTCTTCTCAAAGAGGTAAAGCCTTCTTCATCCAACCAAGAAAACTTAATATATTTAGGAATTACCAATTGCTTTTGGCTGAAGTTGTTCATTTTGTCAATGTCTCCATTGAACCATGCTTCAACATGTCCTCTAGCTTGACCAGCAGCAGAGGAAGATTCTCCCTTATGTTTCTTTCTTGATTTTGATCTCTTAAGCATCTTGTAGCACAGATTTGAGAAGAAATTTGATGGGTAAAGTATGTGAGTGCGAGAGAAGAGGAGAACTTGAAAATGCATAACTTGATTTCTCTTTGATGAATAGAAGTTTGAATTCCAAATTTTTGAAGTCCGAATGACAGGCTTGCAATATTTCAGTGTTAATTGGTCGTGTCCCCTTGACTGACTGCAGAATCACATGCTTTGGGCAGTGAGTACATCAACTAAAGTGTTCTTGGATAAGTATTGACTTGGTCACAATGATACAGTAAATGCACTTGCAGAATATGATAAGCAATAAATCTTGGAAATTTGTCCTTGATTAGCTGATAATTTTTCAATTGACTGTAATTAAAATGATTTCTAAGAACGAATTAATCGATTAATCAACAAATTAACCAATTAATTTGATCTTGAATATTAGGTTTGAAAAAGCAACAGTGAAATAATCGATTAAAAACATAAAAGAATCGATTATTCTTGTACTAAAAAATTTAATGAAATGTCAACAGAATTTTAATTGATTAAAACAAAGAAGAATCAATTAAATTTGACCTTTTAATGGTTTTAACTGATGTAAATCTTTTTTAATCGATTAAAACAGAGAGAATAAAACTATACTAATCATTTTAATCGATTAATTCATATTTTAATCGATTAAAACTGTATCGGACAACTTTTCTGGTATTATCTCGTAAGTGAAATTAATCGATTAAAACAATTTTATATCAATTAAAATACTTAGTTCATGAATCCATAATCAATATTTGCTGATTATGTACCAAAGAACTTTCAGATTTTGTTCCTGCAAAACATATTTAACATATATCTGGTACCCTTATTATAATAATTGGGTCCAATCAAGTTATTTGAAATGAATTCTTAGGAATCCACTTCATTTTACCTCTTGGTATAGCATACTTCTTGATTCTACAAAATTTAACAGAATGACATCTTTTCATACAATAAAAGCATGTAATAAATGGTGATGAAACAGATTTACTGTATGCAAAATAGTTTTTAAACGCTCTATTTTGTTTTTCAACAAGAGGTGTAAAACCATACCACCACGATCAATAACCAACTTTTGAGAATCAAGTATAACATCAAGACTGGATTTTCCTTGTGCAAGTTTAGATGTAGTTTTTATTAAATATGTCAATCTCTTTTGTAACTCAGGACAATTTTCACAATCTTTTTGATTATTACACATGCAATCAGAATTACCTGTTTCCAGATTTTCATTCTTAGTTTCTTCATCAATAATTTTCTTTTCAAGAAGAATGATTTTGTTTTCTAATAAACTATTCATGTTTTTTAATCTTTTGTTTTCAATTTCTAATTTCTTAGCTACTGCATGCATTTCATAAAAAGCATCTTGTAATGAACTGTAATTCATAGCAGTTGTTGAAGAACCAGAACTTACACTGGACATGGGAGAATTCGAATTGACCATTAAACACATCTCTGTTGTTTCTTCATAAGTCATTTCAAGAGTTTTCTACATCTGTTCAGCAGTCTGGCAATGAGATACCCTGAAAAATTCATTTCTATTAAGTGCAGATGTGATGATATTCTTAGCAGTACAGTCATCTTGAATTTGTTTCTTTTTATAATCATTCAAATTAGACCATTCTCTGTTAAAAACATAAGAGCCTTGTTCTGTTAGAAAAATAGGCTGAGATCAAGAGGGGGGGGGGTGAATTGATCTTTGAAAGATTTTCGCAATTAACAGATTTTCTATTTGTAAAAATAAGATTTCAGATCTGTTCTTGAATCGCAAAGCAATCAATCAGCAATAAACGCAGCAACAGAATTAAAAGAGGAGAAATGTTTAGAAAGATATCACCGGTGTTTATACTGGTTCACCCAATACCAGGGCTACGTCCAGTCTCCAGCCAAATTCCATCTGGGTTCCACTAGATCAAATGTTTTACAGATTACAATCTTACACTCAATCTACCACAAGAACCACAATTCCAGTTCTTGCACCTAATCTTTCACCAAGAACCAAATTCCAGTTCTTGACAACCTCTACAACCAAATTCCAGCTGCAGAGAAACCAGTGCCCACAATTCTAGGCACCAAACAATACAAAAAGAATGTAAAGAAATGAAAAGAAGAAACTAGAATGCTCAAACCAGTTTTATGCAATTCTGCAGTAAGTGTTTCTTCTCCAAAAGAAAGCAATTTGCCTCAAGAAAGAATTTCAAAGAACTTCACAAAAACTAGCACGAATCTTTCTTGAAAAGAGAATTAAAGTTTGCTTGCTTGATTGCTAAAGGATGTGTAAAAGATTGATGTTTAAAAAGTTCAAGCAACTCTGTTTATATAGAAGATTTCAAAACTGCTGGTTTAATTAATCTGTTAAAATAATCTTTTAATCTGTTAAAAGTGTAGTTTTAATCTGTTAAAACTTCTTTTAATCCATTAAAACGTTCTTGATTCTTTAATAGATTTGTTTTAACTGATACGACAACGTTTATATCAATTAAAACTCTTTACAAAAAATCTTCTAATTTGATTTAATCGATTGTTTCGTGTTTCAATCGATTAAAATACTACAAAACTTTCTTGTAAAATTTTCAAGTGATTTTAACTTATAAAAATAAGTTTTAATCGATTAAAACGCTGTGTAAAAATTTTCTAAGTTGTTTTAATTGATTGAAAAAGTTCTGATCGGTCATAACTCAATTCTGATCGATCATATCTGATTCTGATCGGTCATAATTGCATTCTGATCGATCATTCTGAACACTAAGTGGATTTAATCGATTAAAACCAAGTTGCATCGATTAAAATACTGCAAAAACACTTCTCTTATCATTTTTAAGTGATTTCAATCGGTTATTTCGAAGCTTTATCGGTTAAAACAACTGACGAAGGTTTTCAAAACTTTCTTTAATGAAAACAACCGGTTATTTCGAAATTATATCAGTTAAAAACTTGTTTAAGAAAGCTTTTGTTAAAATACTTTGTTTTTAACTGCTTAAACGTTTTTAGAGGCATTTTGCAAAATCTTTTAAGTGAAGAAACTTCATGCAGCAGAAAAGATAAAAATGATTATACCTAAGCATAGCTGCGGACATACTAATCCCTTTACTCTTTTATCTAAGTGACTGTTGACCGCTACAAAGTTGACTTTGACTTTATCTTTGACTTCATCAAATCAATAAGATCTTTGCCAAAGTATTTCAATAAGATCTTCATCACTTTCATGTTCAATAATATTCCAAATATTTATATCAATAGATTCAATAAAGATCTTCATTCTTATCTTCCAAAATGAATAATTTGTACCACAAAATAGTGGAGGTCTATTAATACAAGCACCCTCAGAAAAATTATTTTCAGCCATTTGGATCGAAAGACTTGAGTAAATTTCAAGAAACTTGATCTGATACCAAATGTTAGAAAAGGAGGCTAAGATCAAGAGGGGGTGGATTGCTCTTATACGTATGTACAAAATAATATTCTACTTATACGTACATATAAAATAATACGTGGACAAAATAATATTCTACTTATACGTATGTACAAAATAATACGTAGACAAAATAATATTCTACTTGTACATATGTACAAAATAATATGTGGACAAAATAATAGTCTACTTATATGTACGTACAAAATAATACGTGGACAACATAATATTCTATTTATATGTACGTACAAAATAATACGTGGACAAAATAATATTCTACTTATACATATGTACGAAATAATACGTGGACAAAATAATATTCTACTTATACATATGTACAAAATAATATGTGGACAAAATAATATTTTACTTATACGTATATACAAAACAATATGTAGATCTAAGTCATGCACACTTATGAAAAGACATTCTAAATTTTGCAATATCCCTTAATTTACAACATTAATAAGATACTGAGCTAAGTAATTGACTTTTTTTAGAATGCAGCAAAAAAAAACATGGAAGCATGCTTTTAGAGAAAAGATAACGAAGAGTCCTTTTGGAATGAAAATTATCAACTTACTGTTATAATTTGAGAGATAACAATGCAACACCGTTCAAACAGAAATATAACAGAAAATTGTTATGGTCAGTATCATTAATAAATACAGTAATAGAAGGAGACTGCAAGAAAATAATAAGATCAATATGATGGATAATGTTGTGGACAAGGTGGAAAAGGTGAAGAAGGAATGAGAAGAAACGTGCAAGAAAACCAAGAGCACATAGAGGCAATAGCAGAGTACAGAAGAGCGAAAGAGGAGAAAATTTCACTGTCTAGGTTGAACGCGATCGTTCAGGATGGATTAACATTTCTCGATCCCTTTCTCTTCACCCTCGATCTTCTCGCCCCTCAGTTGCCCTCCTATCCGGAGGTTGATTCTGCTCGCCAATTACTTCAATCGTGGAAAACCCTAATCCAAATGTACCAAACCTCTCTCTTAAATCATTTTTGTTTGTTATTGAATTGGATTAAATTGAATAGACATATCTCTTAAATTATTTTTGTTTGTTAGAGAATAGAGAAATAGGAAAGAAATACTCCTTCAAAAATGCCTCCTTCTTATTAAATTGCATGAGCACGCATGAAATATATATACATGCATATGGGTACAATAGTAAAACACAAGCAACTAACTCTAACTACAAAAGTCTTACTTATTAACCAACATTCTCCCTTAAGTCAAGTACTTAAGGGACATAACTCCAATTAACTTCCTCAAATCTATCATTCTTCAATGATTTTGTTAGTATGTCAGCCAATTACAGGATGTTTCTTGGAGCACCATGATATTGGAGCATGGTTTAGCAGAAACAGGTATCCTGATGCACTCTTTCTTTCCACTAAATCACCACTGTAATCGGCGTCTACATACCCTATGATTTTAAGTTCTTCATTCTGACTTCCAAAGGGAAACAATATCCGAAAATCCATTGTTCCCTATATGTACCTTAGGATCCTTTTGGCCGCTAGCATATGACTTGTCTTTGGGTCACTCATGAACCTACTGATCAGACCCACAACAAACGAAAGTTCTGGTCTGCTGTTACAGAGGTAGCAAAAGGATCCCACCATCTGTTTGAACGTTGTTCCATCTACTGCTTCGCCTGATTTATCCTTTGTAAGTTTCAAGTTGCCTTCCACTGGATTTATCACTGAGTTAGATGAAACCATGTTGAATTTCTTCAACAATTCTCCAACATATTTCTTCTGGTGCATGAATAATCCTTTTGATGTGTGCATGAACTCCATGCCGAGAAAATAACTCAGCTCTCCTAAGTCTACCATGTCAAACTCAGCAGCCATCACCTTCCTTAATGCTTCAATCTTTCTTGAATCAGTCCTAGTTATCAACAAATCATCTACATATAGGCAGAGGATAATCAAGTTCTTCTTGCTGTCTTCTCTTACATAAACACCATACTCTACTGTACATTTGTTAGAAAAGGAGGCTGAGATTAAGAGGGGGGTGAATTGATCTTTGAAATATTTTCGCAATTTACAGATTATCTATTTCAAATATTAAGAGTTCTGACCAATTCTTGAATCAAACAAAACAAACAATCAAAATAAAGGCAGCAGCAGAATTAAAGAGAGAAAGGTTTAGAGAGATACAACCAAGATTTATACTGGTTCACCCAATCCCAGGGCTACGTCCAGTTCTCAGCCAAATTCCAGCTGAGTTCCACTAGATTGAATGTTTTACAGATGATAGATTCCAATCACACACCCAATTTACCACAAGAATCAAAATTTCAATCCTTGCACCTAAACCTTCACCAATAACCAACTTCCATTTCTTGAACCACCCTGCAGCCAAATTCTAGCCACAGAAACCAGTGCCCACATTTCCAGACACTCACAATACAGTAATGAAATGTAAAAGAAGTAAAGAGAAGAAACTAGAACACTCAAACCCGGATTATGCAGCTCTGCACAATGAGTTTCTTCACAAAAGAAATGCTGAAATTTCCTCAATAAAGAACTTTGGAAAACTTCACAAAACTTGCGTAATTCTTTCTTGAAAGTAACTCTTATGATTGCTTGATTGCTCAAAAGGTGTATTTTAAAAGACTCAAGCAATCATGTTTATATAGAAAATTGTTCTAACTGCTGGTTTAATTAATCTGTTAAAACAATCTTTTAATCTGTTAAAAGTCTTGAATTAATCTGTTAAAACTTCTTTTAATCTGTTAAAATATTCTTGATCATTTTCCAGATTTATTTTAATTGATGTGACATCGTTTCAATCGATTAAAACACTTTGTAAAAAATCCCTTAAGTTGTTTTAATCGATTAATTCGCCTTTTAATCGATTAAAATACTGTCAAATGTTTTAATAAAACTTTCTAAGTGATTTTAACTGATAATAGTCTGTTTTAATCGGTTAAAACACTTTGGAAAAAATCTCTTAGTTGTTTTAATCGACTAATTCGCATTTTAATTGATTAAAATCCTGCCAAATATTTTCATAAAACTTTCTAAGTGATTTTAACTGATAACACATCGATTAAAATCCTGACAGAACTTCTTTCAAAACCTTTCAAGTGGTTTTAATCGATTAATTCGAGATTACATCGTTTAAAATACTAACAGAACATATTTCAAAACACTTCAAGTGATTTTAATCGATTATTTCGAGTTTGTATCGATTAAAATACTTGTTAGAACACTTTCCAAAACATTTTAAGTCATTTTAATCGATTATTTCGAATCTATATCAGTCAAGAAACTTGCTCTGATACCAAATGTTAGAAAAGGAGGCTGAGATCAAGAGGGGGGTGGATTGCTCTTATACGTATGTACAAAATAATATGTGGACAAAATAATATTCTACTTATACGTACATATAAAATAATACGCGGATAAAATAATATTCTACTTATACGTGTGTACAAAATAATACGTAGACAAAATAATATTCTAGTTGTACATATGTACAAAATAATATGTGGACAAAATAATAGTCTACTTATACGTACGTACAAAATAATACGTGGACAACATAATATTCTATTTATATGTACGTACAAAATAATACGTGGATAAAATAATATTCTACTTATACATATGTACGAAATAATACGTAGACAAAATAATATTCTACTTATACATATGTACAAAATAATATGTGGACAAAATAATATTTTACTTATACGTGTATACAAAATAATATGTAGATCTAAGTCATGCACACTTACGAAAAGACGTTCTAAATTTTGCAATATCCCTTAATTTACAACATTAATAAGATACTGAGCTAAGTAATTGACTTTTTTTAGAATGCAGTAAAAAAAACATGGAAGCATGCTTTTAGAGAAAAGATAACGAAATGTCCTTTTGGAATGAAAATGATCAACTCACTGTTATAATTTGAGAGATAACAATGCAACACCGTTCTAACAGAAATACAACATAAAATTGTTATGACCAGTATTATTAATAAATACATTAAAAGAAGGAGACTGCAAGAAAAGAATAAGATCAATGATGGATAATGTTGTGGACAAGGTGGAAAAGGTGAAGAAGGAATGGGAAGAAACGTACAAGAAAACCAGGAGCACATAGAGGCAATAGCAGAGTACAGAAGAGCGAAAGAGGAGAAATTTCACTGTCTAGGTTGAACGCGATCATTCAGTATGGATTAAGATTTCTAGATTCCTTCCTCTTCACCCTCGATCTTCTCGCCCCTCAGTTGCCCTCGTATCCGAAGGTTGATTCTGCTCGCCAATTACTTCAATTGTGGAAAATCCTAATCCAAATGTACCAAACCTCTCTCTTAAGTCATTTTTGTTTGTTATTGAATTGGATTGAATTGAATAGACATATCTCTTAAATTATTTTTGTTTGTTAGAGAATAGAGAAATAGGAAAGAGATACTCCTTCAAAAATGTCTCCTTATTATATTGCATGAGCACGTATGAAATATATATACATGCAGATGGGTAAAATAGTAAAACACAAGCAACCAACTCTAACTACAAAAGTCTTGACTTATTAACCAACACTCTCCCTTAAGTCAAGTATTTAAGGGACATAATTCCAATTAACTTCATCAAATCTTCAAATCTATCGTTCTTCAATGATTTTGTGAGTATGTCAGCCAACTGCAAATCAGGTTTGCAGTGTACAACTGCTAGTCTTCTTTGTTCACCAAGTCTCTAAGGAAGTGAAATCTAACTTTTATATGTTTGCTTCTACCATGCCTCACTGGATTCTTAGACAAATTAATTGCATAAATATTATCAATCTTCAACTCTAGTGGTTATTTGACTTCAAGCTTCATTTCTTTCAAAAGTTTTTCAAGCCACATATCTTGGCATGCAACAAAACTTCCTGAAATATATTTAGCTTCACATCTTGAGAGTGTAACTACAGGCTGTTTCTTGGAGCACCATGATATTGGAGCATGGTTTAGCAAAAACAGGTATCCCCATGTACTCTTTCTTTCCACTAAATCACCATTATAATCGGCATTTGCATACCCTATGATTTTAATTTCTTCATTAATTTCTTCAATCGATTAAAACACTTTGTAAAAAATCCCTTAAGTTGTTTTAATCGATTAATTCGGCTTTTAATCGATTAAAATACTGTCAAATGTTTTAATACAACTTTCGAAGTGATTTTAACTGATAACAATCTGTTTTAATCGGTTAAAACACTTTGGAAAAAATCTCTTAGTTGTTTTAATCGATTAATTCACATTTTAATCGATTAAAATCCTGCCAAATATTTTCATAAAACTTTCTAAGTGATTTTAACTGATAACACATCGATTAAAATCCTGACAGAACTTCTTTCAAAACCTTTCAAGTGGTTTTAATCGATTAATTCGAGATTACATCGATTAAAATACTGACAGAACATATTTCAAAACACTTCAAGTGATTTTAATCGATTATTTCGAGTTTGTATCGATTAAAATACTCGTTAGAACACTTTCCAAAACATTTTAAGTCATTTTAATCGGTTATTTCGAATCTATATCAGTTAAAATACTAGCGAAGGTTTTCAAAAACTCCTTTAATGAAAACAATCGATTAATTCGAAGATATATCGATTAAAACAGTTCCAGTGAATGTTTTAAAAGGTTTTAATCGATTATTTCGAAAACCTATCAGTTAAAAAACATGTTATGTAAGTGTTAAGAACATTTTAACTGATAAAACTCATATAATATCAGTTAAAACAATTACTTAAAAATCATTTAACCGATTAATTTTGTTTTTAACAAATTAAACATCTTTAGCGGCATTTTCAAAATCTTTTAAATGATGAAACCTCATGCATCAGAGAGATATGAATGATTATACCTATGTATAAATGCACACTCACTAATCACTCTACTCTTTTAACCAAATTACCTTTGACTTCAACAGAATAACCTTTGACTTCATCAAATCAACAAGATCTTTGTTTTATCAAATGATTCAATAAGATCTTCATCACTTTCAACATTTTGTTAATCCATATTTCATCAAGAAGGAATCTCTCCTTTTGTTCCAAGCTCTTGGGGCCTACTTCAGCCCATGAGGCCTTTTTAAGTTTGTAAACATGCTGCTTTTTCCTTTCTACAATGAACCCAAGAGGCTACTACACATATACGTCCTCTTCTATAGGTCCATGCAAGTACGCTGATTTCACATCCATTTGGAATAGGGTCCAGTTTCTTGCACATGCTATAACAACCACCAAACGTATGGTTTCCAGTCTCGCTGGTGCAAACATCCACTCCTTTCTTTTGCAAAAAACCTTTAGCAACCAGTTTGACTTTGTGTTTTGACACAGTTCCATCGGGATTCAACTTTTGCTTGAATACCCATTTCACTCCAATACTGTGTTTGCCTGCAGGGAGTTCAACCAAAGTCCAAGTCATGTTCCTTTCAATTGATCTAATTTCCTCTATCATAGCTTCTCTCCATACAGGTTGTTTCAACGCATCAATTTCATTTATGGGTTCTGCTCCTGCCATTAACGTCATATGAATTAAATCTCCTTCTTCGATTAGTTGATCATCTCTATGCATCTCAAAGGGTACATTTCTCTCCCTCTGTGATCTTTGAGGTGTTGTAATATCAGTTGCATGCTTCAAGCTTTCTTCCATAGGAGGATTGGAAGTGATAACTGAATGTGTTTTCTTTGATAGGCTGGTGTGTTTTCCAACCCAGTTCCAACTTTCTTCTTCTAGAACAATCATATCTCTACTGAAAACAATTGTATCATGAATGGAATCATACAATTTATATGCTCCCGTAGCATGATATCCGATAAAGATCATTGGTTCACTCTTATCTTTCTTGCAGCTTTGTACGTTTCTAGTCCGGAATATGATTGAATGCTAGTGATCCAAAAACCCTAAAGTGGGTAACTCTCGGTTTCTTCCCTGTCCAGTACTGCAATAGGTACCTCTCCATATAGCTTCTATGTAGGACAATGATTTAAGATGTATGTTGCGGTTGATACAGCTTCACCCCAGAAATTTTGAGGTAGTTCCTTCTCCTTGATCAAGCTTCTTGCCATGTTGAGTATGGTTCGATTTCTTCTCACAGCCAAACCATTGTGCTGTGGAGTATAGGGTGTTGTTACTTCATGCACAATTCCATGCTCAATGCAGTGTTGTTTGAAGGCAGTAGATGTGTACTCCTCTCCTCCATCAGTCCTAAGAATTTTAAGCAGTTTGTCACTCTCCCTTTCAACTTGAGTTTTGAATCTTACGAACGAATCAAGTGCATCACTCTTTTGCTTGATTACGTGCATCCAAACCATCCTGCTATATTCATCAACAAAGGTTATGAAATACCTATTTTCTGCTAGTGAAGGCACTTCAAATGGACCACATACATCATAATACACTAGTTCAAGGCAATCATTCGATCTCTTCTCTGTGTGTGTTTGAAACGAATTTCTGGGTTGCTTTCCAGCCAAGCAGGTTTCACACTTCTTTTCGGGTAGATCAATGGTAGGTATTCCTGACACCATTTGCTTCGTTCCAAGTTGCTGCAGACTTTTGAAATTGAGGTGACCATATCTTGCATACCACAACCAGTCAACTCTATTGCTTTCAATAGTAGACAAACATTGCACCTCCATTGCTCGCAAGTTAACCTAAAAAGTTCTGTTCTTGGACAGTTTTCTTTTCAATATCAGATTTTTATCATCAAATAACTCAATCTGATTATAATGACTCATGACAACAGTAAATCCTTTTTGCACGAGTTGGGCAATGCTCAGCAGATTGCACTTCATATCTGGAACAAATAACACATCTGTGATTACGGTTTTTGATCCATTCTTTCTTTCAATAATGACATCTTCAGCTCCTTCTACTTTCAAGGTACTATCATCAACAAATTTAACTTTGCTCTTCTTTCTTGCATCAAAATTGGTTAGCCAATCTTTATGACAAGTCATATGATTTGAGCACCTTAAATCAAGGTACCGGGATTCTTGTTTTAAATTCCTTGCTGCTACTGTCACCATTAATGTTAATGGTTCTTCAGAATCAGATTCCTCTTGAGCTACAAGTGCTTCTTTATCACCGTTTTTCTTCTTCTTTGATTTAGCTTTGTCAGCATAACACTCACTTGCAAAATGACCCATCTTATGACAGTTGAAACATTCTATTTTTCTTTTATCGAACAATTTCTTCTTTCTAGACTCGTTTTTCTTTCCATTTACGTCAGAATCTTCTTCATCAGATTCATCCTTGTTTTGTTTCCGAGACTTTCTTTCCCTTCTTTCCATTCCATTTACCATACTTTTTTCTCTCTTCGTTCTTTAAATGGTGAACCTTTAAAGATTGTTCAGAACCTTTCATTACATCTACGAGCTTCATTCATGTGCCTCCAATGAACTTTGAAGCTCCTCTATCTTTATCTTTGACAAATCTTTCGATTCTTCTATTGCTACCGTTATGTAATTGAACTTTGGTTGTAATGATCTCATTACTTTCTCAACCATCATTAGCTCAGTAAGAGACTCACCACAACCCTTCATTTGATTTGAGGACAAGAAACCTATAGGCAACACTATGTTTTGCATAACCTAAGAACATACAATCAGAAGTTTTAGAGCCTATTTTCGTTTTCTTAGGATTGAGTAACATTTACTTAGCTAGGCACCCCACACTCTTAGATATTTAAGATTAGGTTCATAACCTCTCCATGACTCATAGGGAGTTTTACCAGTTTTTTTAAAACACACTATAAGTATATCTTCTGTCAAAGGTTATTTGATGCACTAGAGTTGTTTATTTGATTAAGTACACTTTGGTGTATGTAGAGTAGTCGTCTATAAATATCACAGATCATATGAATCAATAATATAAGCAGAAGAACAACATTCATTAACAACCTTAGAGATGTTAAGTACAAAAAACTTTGGTCACAATATCCCTTCCCTACAAATACATTTTTTTTATTTTTTTTCATAACAATCTTATGAGATTCGAATAACACTTTAACCCCAACTTTTACCAGCAGTGCTATAGATATTATATTAGCTCTAATTAATGGCACATGTAGCACATCACATGCTTGAGTCTTTCCAGATGTGAGCTTTTAGAAGAACTTTTCTTTTTCTTGGAATTACCGAGATCAACATGTTCTTCTCCATCACCACATTAGTGTAGGAGGTAAAAGTACTTCTTTATGCACAGATGTGCCTGGTAGCACCAAAGTCTACCACTCATTTGCTCACATTTGTCACAAGGTTTATTTGGAAAACGACCGCAATAATTGTATCTTCACTTTGGCCAAATTTGCCTTAGGAGGATTGTCATTTCTCATTCCACCTCTACACTGAGGTGCATGATGACCTTACTTTCCACAAACAAAACAATTTTCTTTCTTGAACGTAAAGTGGGGTTAGATCTATTGGCTTCATACAGTCTCAATCCTTTCTTATACGTATGTACAAAATGGACAAAATAATATTCTATGTACAAAATAACATGTGGACAAAATAATATTCTACTTATACGTATGTACAAAATAATATGTGGACAAAATAATATTCTACACTTATACGTATGTACAAAATAATATGTGGACAAAATAATATTATACTTATACGTACGTATAAAATAATACGTGGATAAAATAATATTCTACTTGTACGTATGTACAAAATAATATGTGGACAAAATAATATTCTACTTATACGTACTACAAAATAATATGTGGATAATATAATATTCTCTTTATACATACGTATAAAATAATACGTGGACAAAATAATATTCTACTTATACATATGTACAAAATAATACGTGGACAAAATAATATTCTACTTATACGTATGTACAAAATAATATGTGGACAAAATAATATTTTACTTATACGTATATACAAAATAATATGTAGATCTAAATCATGCACACTTGTGGGAAGACGTTCTAAATTTTGCAATACCCCTTAATTTACAACATTAATAAGATATTGAGCTAAGTAATTGACTTTTTTTAGAATGCAGCAAAAAAAAACATGGAAGTATGCTTTTAGAGAAAAGATAATGAAGAGTCCTTTCGAAATGAAATTGATGAACTCACTGTTATAATTTGAGAGATAACAATGCAACACCGTTCTAACAGAAATACAACAGAAAATTGTTATGGCCAGTATCATTAATAAATACAGTAACAGAAGGAGACTGCAAGAAAAGAATAAGATCATTATGATGGATAATGTTGTGGACAAGGTGGAAAAGGTGAAGAAGGAATGAGAAGAAACGTGCAAGAAAACCAGGAGCACATAGAGGCAATAGCAGAGTACAGAAGAGCGAAAGAGGAGAAAATTTCACTATCTAGGTTGAACGCGATCGTTCAAGATGGATTAAGATTTCTCGATTCCTTCCTCTTCACCCTCGATCTTCTCGCCCCTCAGTTGCCCTCCTATCCGGAGGTTGATTCTGCTCGCCAATTGCTTCAGTCGTGGAAAATCCTAATCCAAATGTACCAAACCTCCCTCTTAAATAATTTTTGTTTGTTATTGAATTGGATTAAATTGAATAGACATATCCCTTAAATTATTTTTGTTTGTTAGAGAATAGAGAAATAGGAAAGAGATACTCCTTCAAAAATGACTCCTTCTTATTATAGTGCATGAGAACATATGAAATGCCTCCTATGTTCTCATAAGAAGCTTGACCACCAGTAGATTCAGGAACCTCAGCAGAAGCCGGAGAAGAAGGAATTTGACCTTGATTAGCTTCTTCTTCATCTTCTTCCTCATCTTCAGACATCCCAACATCAATCTTAGAGATCTACTCTCCATCAATTTTGATAAATCCCATCTTCCGCAAAGTGGAATCATCAATATTATTGGAGGCCTTTGGAGTTTCCACATATTCTCCTGCAAGATCTACTTCAAAGTATCTAAAAAATTGATTAATCAGCATAGCATATGACAGTTTATAATCAGCCAATCTTTTTGCTTTTATCATGTGATCATTGATAACAAAAATCCAATTTACACGGATATTATTTTCAATGCAATACATAAGAGCTAAATCACCCTCATTAAGTAACGTATGATTACTCCCTCTTGGAGTAAGCATCCATGCAATGATAAAAGCAAGAATCCTTGGTTCAAGCTCCATTTTCCCAGTGTTAAGAGTTCTTACATAATCATTCTGATTTTTGAGACAGCTGTGGAAAAATTGAATTTTGTTAAAATCAGATAACTCTGCAATGTTACCTCTGGATACCTTTACACCAACATCATGAAGACCAACCACTTCTTCCCACACCTTAGGAGTGATCACCAAATTTATACCTTTGACTTGAGATCTTAGAGTGGAGCCGCTGACTGTAAGGTTGGCATAGAATACCCTTACTAGATCAGGTTGAATGTTGCCGGTGTGCTCCAGAAAAGTCTTTAACTTTTGTCTTTTTAATTTTCTTCTCAAAGAGGTAAAGCCTTCTTCATCCAACCAAGAAAACTTAATATATTTAGGAATTACCAATTGCTTTTGGCTGAAGTTGTTCATTTTGTCAATGTCTCCATTGAACCATGCTTCAACATGTCCTCTAGCTTGACCAGCAGCAGAGGAAGATTCTCCCTTATGTTTCTTTCTTGATTTTGATCTCTTAAGCATCTTGTAGCACATATTTGAGAAGAAATTTGATGGGTACAGTATGTGAGTGCGAGAGAAGAGGAGAACTTGAAAATGCATAACTTGATTTCTCTTTGATGAATAGAAGTTCGAATTCCAAATTTTTGAAGTCCGAATGACAGGCTCGCAATATTTCGGTCTTAATTGGTCGTGTCCCCTTGATTGATCGAGAATCACATGCTTTGGGCAGTGAGTACATCAACTAAAGTGTTCTTGGATAAGTATTGACTTGGTCACAATGATATATAGTAAATGCACTTGCAGAATATGATAAGCAATAAATCTTGGAAATTTGTCCTTGATTAGCTGATAATTTTTCAATTGACTGTAATTAAAATGATTTCTAAGAACGAATTAATCGATTAATCAACAAATTAACCAATTAATTTGATCTTGAATATTAGGTTTGAAAAAGCAACAGTGAAATAATCGATTAAAAACATAAAAGAATCGATTATTCTTGTACTAAAAAATTTAATGAAATGTCAACAAAATTTTAATTGATTAAAACGAAGAAGAATCGATTAAATTTGACCTTTTAATGGTTTTAACTTATGTAAATCTTTTTTAATCGATTAAAACAGAGAGAATAAAACTATACTAATCATTTTAATCGATTAATTCATATTTTAATCGATTAAAACTGTATCGGACAACTTTTCTGGTATTCTTTGTAAGTGAAATTAATCGATTAAAATAATTTTATATCAATTAAAATACTTAGTTCATGAATCCATAATCAATATTTGCTGATTATGTACCAAAGAACTTTCAGATTTTGTTCCTGCAAAACATATTTAACATATATCTGGTACCCTTATTATAATAATTGGGTCCAATCAAGTTATTTGAACTGAATTCTTAGGAATCCACTTCATTCTACCTCTTGGTATAGCATACTTCTTGATTCTACAAAATTTAACAGAATGACATCTTTTCATACAATAAAAGCATGTAATAAATGGTGATGAAACAGATTTACTGTATGTAAAATAGTTTTTAAACGCTCTATTTTTCTTTTCAACAAGAGGTGTAAAACCATACCACCACGATCAATAACCAACTTTTGAGAATCAAGTATAACATCAAGACTGACTTTTCCTTGTGCAAGTTTAGATGTAGTTTTTATTAAATATGTCAATTTCTTTTGTAACTCAGGACAATTTTCACAATCTTTTTTATCATTACACATGCAATCAGAATTACCTATTTCCAGATTTTCATTCTTAGTTTCTTCATCAATAATTTTCTTTTCAAGAAGAATGATTTTGTTTTCTAATAAACTATTCATGTTTTTTAATCTTTTGTTTTCAATTTCTAATTTCTTAGCTACTGCATGCATTTCATAAAAAGCATCTTGTAATGAACTGTAATTCATAGTAGTTGTTGAAGAACCAGAACTTACACTGGACATGGGAGAATTCGAATTGACCATTAAACACATCTCTGTTGTTTCTTCATAAGTCATTTCAAGAGTTTTCTACATCTGTTCAGCAGTCTGACAATGAGATACCCTGAAAAATTCATTTCTATTAAGTGCAGATGTGATGATATTCTTAGCAGTACAGTCATCTTGAATTTGTTTCTTTTCATAATCATTCAAATTAGACCATTCTCTATTAAAAACATAAGAGCCTTGTTCTGTTAGAAAAATAGGCTGAGATCAAGAGGGGGGGGGGGTGAATTGATCTTTGAAAGATTTTCGCAATTAACAGATTTTCTATTTGTAAAAATAAGATTTCAGATCTGTTCTTGAATCGCAAAACAATCAATCAGCAATAAACGCAGCAACAGAATTAAAAGAGGAGAAAGGTTTAGAAAGATATCACCGGTGTTTATACTGGTTCACGCAATACTAGGGCTACGTCCAGTCTCCAGCCAAATTGCATCTGGGTTCCACTAGATCAAATGTTTTACAGATTACAATCTTACACTCAATCTACCACAAGAACCACAATTACAGTTCTTGCACCTAATCTTTCACCAAGAACCAAATTCCAGTTCTTGACAACCTCTACAACCAAATTCCAGCTGCAGAGAAACCAATGCCCACAATTCTAGGCACCAAACAATACAAAAAGAATGTAAAGAAATGAAAAGAAGAAACTAGAATGCTCAAACCAGTTTTATGCAATTCTGCAGTAAGTGTTTCTTCTCCAAAAGAAAGCAATTTGCCTCAAGAAAGAATTTCAAAGAACTTCACAAAAACTAGCACGAATCTTTCTTGAAAAGAGAATTAAAGTTTTCTTGCTTGATTGCTAAAGGATGTGTAAAAGATTGATGTTTAAAAAGTTCAAGCAACTCTGTTTATATAGAAGATTTCAAAACTGCTGGTTTAATTAATCTGTTAAAATAATCTTTTAATCTGTTAAAAGTGTAGTTTTAATCTGTTAAAACTTCTTTTAATCCATTAAAACGTTCTTGATTCTTTAATAGATTTGTTTTAAGCTGATACGACAACGTTTATATCAATTAAAACTCTTTACAAAAAATCTTCTAATTTGATTTAATCGATTGTTTAGTGTTTCAATCGATTAAAATACTACAAAACTTTCTTGTAAAATTTTCAAGTGATTTTAACTTATAAAAATAAGTTTTAATCGATTAAAACGCTGTGTAAAAATTTTCTAAGTTGTTTTAATCGATTGAAAAAGTTCTGATCGGTCATAACTCAATTCTGATCGATCATATCTGATTCTGATCGGTCATAATTGCATTCTGATCGATCATTACTGAACACTAAGTGGATTTAATCGATTAAAACCAAGTTGCATCGATTAAAATACTGCAAAAACACTTCTCTTATCATTTTTAAGTGATTTCAATCGGTTATTTCGAAGCTTTATCGGTTAAAATACTCGACGAAGGTTTTCAAAACTTTCTTTAATGAAAACAACCTAGGTTATTTCGAAATTATATCAGTTAAAAACTTGTTTAAGAAAGCTTTTGTTAAAATACTTTGTTTTTAAGCTGCTTAAACGTTTTTAGAGGCATTTTGCAAAATCTTTTAAGTGAAGAAACTTCATGCAGCGAGAAAAGATAAAAATGATTATACCTAAGCATAGTCTGCGAACATACTAATCCCTCTACTCTTTTATCTAAGTGACTTGTTGACCGCTACAAAGTTGACTTTGACTTTATCTTTGACTTCATCAAATCAATAAGATCTTTGCCAAAGTATTTCAATAAGATCTTCATCACTTTCATGTTCAATAATATTCCAAATATTTATATCAATAGATTCAATAAAGATCTTCATTCTTATCTTCCAAAATGAATAATTTGTACCACAAAATAGTGGAGGTCTATTAATACAAGCACCCTCAGAAAAATTATTTTCAGCCATTTGGATCGAAAGACTTGAGTAAATTTCAAGAAACTTGATCTGATACCAAATGTTAGAAAAGGAGGCTAAGATCAAGAGGGGGTGGATTGCTCTTATACATATGTACAAAATAATATGTGGACAAAATAATATTCTACTTATACGTACATATAAAATAATACGTGGACAAAATAATATTCTACTTATACGAATGTACAAAATAATACGTAGACAAAATAATATTCTACTTGTACATATGTACAAAATAATATGTGGACAAAATAATAGTCTACTTATATGTACGTACAAAATAATACGTGGACAACATAATATTCTATTTATATGTACGTACAAAATAATACGTGGACAAAATAATATTCTACTTATACATATGTACGAAATAATACGTGGACAAAATAATATTCTAATTATACATGTGTACAAAATAATATGTGGACAAAATAATATTTTACTTATACGTATATACAAAACAATATGTAGATCTAAGTCATGTATGTTGACAATTCAAGGACTTGATGTTGCACTTGATGAATATGAAGAATGGATTTTGATGATGATCCAAGAACTAAAGACTTAGAATATTGAAGAT